TAGTAAAAGGATATATTCAAGTTAACTATGGTTTATTTGTAGGAGCCATAGGTATTCTGTCTACCTTCCTAAGTGTATGACATCTTCTAGAAATTTGTAAAATGTAGCTTAGCTGGTAAAGTAATAGGTTATGGAAGTATCTAGCATCCAATGGTATTTAGAAATACTTTAACAAGGAAACAATGTTTCACAGGCATTGAGAAACATTTGATTTTTAAAAAAATAAAATGATGAGGGATTTGTATATGTTACATAATAGTTTTTGTATTTCGTTATTAATGGAGATTTGTTGTTGTTGTTAGGTGCCATTCAGTTGTTTCCAACTCATAGCAACCTTATGCAGAACAGAACGAAACACCAATTGGTCTTGCACCATCCTCACAATCTTTGTTAAACTTGAGTCCAATTGCTGCTGCCACTGTGCCAATCCATCTCATTGGGAGTCTTCCTATTTTTCACTGACCCTCTGGTTTAGCTAGCATGATGTCCTTCTCCAGGGATTGGTCCCTCCTAATAATGTGTCCAAAAGTATGATAGACAAAGTCTTGCCATACTGACTTCTAAGGAGCATTCTGGCTCTACTTATTCCAACACTGATTTGTTTATTCTTCTAGCAGTCCATGATACTTTTAATATTCTTTTCCAACACCATAGCTCAAATGCATCAAGTCTTCTATGGTCTTCCTTATTCACTATCTAACTTTCACATGCATATGAGGTTATGGAAAATACTATGACTTTGGGTCAGGCACACCTTAGTCCTCAAACTGACATTGTTGCTCTTGAAAATTTTAAAGAGGTCTTGTGCAACAGATTTGCTTAATGGAATATGTCATTTGATTTCTTGACTGCTACTTTCATGATAGTGGATTCAAGCAAAATGAAGTCTTGGACACCTTCAGTCATTTCTCCATATATCATGATGTTATTTATTGGTCCAGTGGTGGGTCAAGTGAGGATTTAAATTTTTTTACATTGAGGTGCAATCCATACTGAAGGCTATAGCCTCTGATCTTCATCAGTAATTATTTTAAGTCCTTTTCACTTTCAACAAGCAGGGTTGTATCAGCTACATATCACAGGTTGTTAATGAGTGTTCCTCCAATCCTGATGCCATGTTCTTCTTCATATAATCTAGATTCTAGAGTAATTTGCTTAGCATACAGTTTGAATAAGTATGGTGAAAGAATCCAACTCTGGCATACATCTTTCTTAATTTTAAATCATTCCATGTCTTCCTGTTCTGTTGGAACAACTGCCTCTTGGTCTAAGTACAGTTTCTGCATGAGCACAGTTAAGTGCTCCAGAATACTCCGTATCCACAGTGTTGTCCATAGTTTGTTGTGATCCACAGTCAAAGGCCTTTTCATAGTCAGTAAAGCTCAGGTAAACATCTTTTTGGTATTCTCTGCTTTCAGCCAATATCCTTCTGATGTCAGCAATGATATCCCTTCTTTCATGTCCTCATCTGAATTTGATTTAAACCTCTGGTACTTCCCTGTCAGTGTACTGTTACAGTGTACTGTTTTTGAATTATCTTTAGCAAAATTTTACTTGCATGTTATATTAATGATATTGTCTGATGACTTCCACATTCCATTGGGTCACCTGTCATTGGAATTGACACAAATAATGGGTCTCTTCCAATCACTTGGCTAGGTGCTGTCGTTCAAATTTTTTGGCATAGATGAGTAAGTGCCTCCTGTGTTGCCTCACTTTGTCGATACATTTCAATTTGCAGTCTATCAATTCCTGGAGACTTGTCCTTTGCCAATGCATTCAGTGCTTTTTGAAATCCTTCCTTCAGTACAATAGGCTCTTGATCATATGTTACCTCTTGAAATAGTTGAACATTGATCATTTCTTTTTAGTACAGTGACTATGTTTATTCCTCTGTTTTCTATTGATGCTTTCTGCATCATTCAATATTTTGCCCATGGAATCCTTCAACATTACAAGTTGAGGCTTGAGTTTTTGTCATCAGTTCTTTCAGTTTGAGAAATGCTGAGCATGTGCTTCCCTTTTGGTTTTCTAGCTTCAGGGTTTTACATATTTCATTGTGTAATGCATTGTTTTCTTGAGCTGCCCTTTGTAATTTTCTGCTGTCAAACTTCCTCATTTCTTCCATTTGCTTTAGCATTTCTATGCTGGAGAGCAGTTTCAGAGTCTGTTGTGACATCTGTTTTGGTCTTTTCCGTCCTTCTTCTCTATTTGATGACCTTTTGCTTTCTTTCTGTATGATATTCTTGATGTCATTCCACAACTCTTCTGGTCTTTAGTCATTAGTATCTAATGCATCAAATGTGCCCTTTGAGTGATTTCTAAATTCATGTTGGATATGTTCAAGGCCAAATTTTGGCTCTTGTAGACTTGATTTAATTTTCTTCAGCTTCAGCCTGAACTTGCATATGAGCAATTGATAGCCTGTTCCACAGTCTGCTCTGACCTTCTTTTGGTTGATGATACAGAGCTTTGTCTCTTTCCACAGATGTAGTCAGTTTGATTTTGTGTTTGCTATCTGGTGAGGTCCATATGGGTAGTCGTCTTTTATGTTATTTTTAAAAAGGTATTTACAATGAACAGTCATTGGTCTTGCAAATTTTAATCATGTGATCTCCAGCATCAATCTATCATCAAGGCCATATTTTCTAACTACTGATCCTTCCTCTTTGTTTCCAACTTTTGCATTCCAATTACCAGTAATTATCAATGCCTATTGATCAATTTCTGACTGAAGAATTTGTTATAATTCTTCAATTTCATCATCATTTGTTTTAGTGGTTGGTTTATAATTTGAAAAATAGTAGTATTAACTGGTCTTCTTTGTTGGCCTATTGATATTATCCTATCACAGACAGCATTATACTTCAAGATAGATCTTAAAATACTATTTTTAATGAAGAATGTGACACCATTCCCTTTCAATTTGTTATTCATGGCATAGTAAACCATACTATTGTCATATTCAAAATGTCCAATACCTGTCCATTTCTGCTTACTAATGCCTGAAAAAAAAAATCTTTATTTGTTCCATTTTATTTTTGGTAATTTCCAATTTTCCTAGATTCATACTTAATACATTCCATGTCCCAATAATTGATGGATGTTTGCGACTATTTCTCCTCATTTTGAGTTGTGCCTCATCAGTAAATGAAGGTTCCAAAAGGTTTACTCCATTCCATCATCATGGTCAACTTTATCCTTGAGGTAGCTCTTTCTCAGTTGTATTTTGAGTGCCTTTCAACCTGATGGGCTCATATCTGGCAATATTCTGGTGCAAGTCATCATGTTTTACTATTCAATAATCTGGTGCTGACAGTGTTCCACTGCTATTCATAAGGTTTTCAGTGACTGAATAGTCAGAAGTAGTTCATCTCTTCTTCTTCCTAGTCTATCTTATTCTGGAAGCTCAGCTGAAACCTGTCCATCATGGGTGTATCTTGCTCATATTTAAAATGCAGGCAGCATAGCTTCCAGCATCACAACAACACACAAGCCACAATAGTAAGACAAACTGACAGACGAGTGGTGAGATGGAGATTAAGTATTTTACCATCATTCTATTGATATTTTTGACCCATGTTTCTCAGAATGACATAGCATACAATAGCAATTGAATTGTTAAGCATCTGTAATTCCTTATACTATATACCCCCTGCAAGACCAAGGAAACACTCATTATCTCAATGTTCTGAAGAACTCTTCCTTCATATTTTCCCAACATGTGGACATCAGTTTGTATTTAATAATTTTAAGTTTTCATACCTTTCTATCTCAGAGCATTTCATTTTTTTTGGTTTTCAACAAGCTATTGGCATTTGGTTATAGATGATAATATGTCTTATTTTTCAGCAATCTAACTTGTTCCTAAAAATCTTTTAGGTAAATATTTTAACTAAAGTCTTTCTGTAAACTTCAATCACTGAGTATAAAAAGTTGTCCGAAAGCACACACTGTGAGATTTAGACATCAGCAGGCACTCTACTGCATAGTCCCACATTCTCTTTGTTTGGTAGCTGATGTTTGAATGCATTTTCTGTCTTAACATGACTGTTATATTTCAGGAAGTAGCGTAAGTCTCCCATGCTTTATAATGTGTTGAACCCTTTAGTAATCAACAAATAAAAGCACTGCTTTAAAATGCTGACCAGATTTGGTTTTTCTTCTGCTTTTTATAGGAGGAACTCTCTGGAATGAAAACTAGAGTGCAAGTAGTTGTGCTTGAAAATGACAAGCTTCAGCAAGAGCTAAAATCTCAAAGAGGAGAGATGACAATGAGAGAGCAAACACTTCTGGATGCATCTGTGAGCATTTTTTAAAAACCATATTAGTTTGCTTAATTGGGGGAAAAAAATCACAAACCCAAAATTTGATTAAAAGTAAAAGAAAACAAAAACCAGAAATATACAATGATGCTGGGAGGGAGAGATGTGAAGTCAGAAAACAAAGGGGTATTTTGCCCCAATTACATTTGCTTTTCTTCTTGCCCCAAATATTCCTTCCTATCCTTTCCTTCCTTAAGGAGCTCTGGTAGTGTAGTGGTTATGAATTGGGCTGAAAACCACAAGGTCAGCAGTTCGAAACTACCAGCTGCTCTGCAGGAGAAAGATTAGGCTTTCTGCTCCCGTTAAGATTTATAGCCTTGGAAACCCTTTTCAGGGTTGCTATGGGTTGGAACCTACTCGACGGCACTTAACAACAACAGCTTTTAAGCTGTTAAAATTTGGCAGAAGTGTTATGTGGGATTCACTTGAGGTGTCAGCAATTAAAATTCACTGTGGTAGAATGAGTTCTGACCTAAAATTAGTTAATGGTGCATTTACTCCCTTTATGTTTTTTCTATACTGAAAGAGTACATGTGAAAGCAGAATGTATGTTATTAAGGAAGGAACATGAGGCCTTGTGTTAATCTAGAAGCTACACAAAACCTTAGCTTGTATTTAATATATATATACACAAATTGTTGTATTTCTCTCAATTTCCCTTGAGTTCTAAAATCCAATAAATCTAATTAGTAGCTTGGTGCAGCAGAAAGAACAATGCCTGAGGGTCATCGGATCAAAATAGCATTGTCCTTTATAAGCTGACTTTTAGTAAATACTTGGGAGGACTTTCTGAGGCTTGACTTCATTGTTCCTCTGTTTCTTTACTAATAATTCAAGAAGATTGGCCTGTGTTAGGAGTACTTGAACTTCAATATGAATAACATTCATTTGAGGTACTTGTTGATCATATAGATTTCTGGCTCTGTCTCCTGAGGGTTTGAATCTACTGATCTGGATTGGGTCTTAGGAAAATAAATTTTAAGCTAGTGCCCCAATTGATTCCTGTAATGGTGGACCATATTTTGAGGATCAACTATATTTTACACAAAGTTCTTTCGGTGATCTTTAAATAGCACTTAAATTTATTTTCTGTTTGTGACTTGTCAGAGATACTTTTGCCTTAAAAATGTTTTTCACTCTTTTACTGTCCCCATCCACTGTCATGGAGTTGATTTCTATTTACAGTGACCCCATATAACTGAGTAGAACTGTCCCATAGAGTTTCCAAGGTTGTAAATCTTTATGGAAACAGACTGCCTTATCCAAGGAGCAATTGGAAGGTTTGAACCACCAACCTTTTAGTTAGCAACCCAATGCTTAACCTACTGCACCACTAGGTTTCCTCTTCTTCTACTATGGTGTTGTTAAGTGCTATCGAATCTGTTCTGACTCATCAAAATCCTGTATAGGGTTTCTGAGAGCATGTGGTGGGTTTGAACTACCAACCTATAGTTAGCAGTCCAGTGTTAAACCTAAAGCATCACACCAGGGATCTCTTTCACTATGTTGTTGTCAACAAGTGCTATCAAGCCAGTTCTGACAGATAGGGATCCGTATAGGTTTTCCACAGAACGACTGGTGGGTGTAAACCACCAACCTTGTGGTGGTTAGCAGTCCAGTGCTTATCCTACAATATCACACCAGGACTCCTCTTTTCCTGTGTTGTTATTATTAAGTACTGTAGAGTTGGTTCCAACTCATAGCTACACTATATAGGGTTTCTGAGGAGCAGCGGATGGGTTTGAACTGCTGACCTTGTGGTTTGCAGTCTAATGCTGATCCTAGTTAATCATAGCTTGTGTAACTTTTTGATACAGATTCAAGTTTCCATGGTGAAGGAAGTTTTAACATTGTCTTGAAGCTTTATAGTAACTGATGCTGCTGTTAAGTGCTGTTGAGTTAGTTCCTACTTGTAGTATCCCTGTATAGGGTTTCCAAGGCTGTAAATATTTGTGGTAGCAGAAAACCTGCCTCATTTTTCTCCTGCGGAGCAGCTGGTGAACTCGAACTGCCAACCTTGTGGTTTGCAGTCCAGTGCTTTTCCTGCAGAACCACAGCACTCCCTGTAATAACTGGTTGTTGTTGTTAAGTGCCATCAAGTTGGTTCTGACCCATAGCGAACCTGTATAGGGTTTCTGAGGAGTGGCTGGTGAGCTTGAACTGTTGACTTTGTGGTTCAAACCAACTTTGCAGTCCAGCGCATTAACCCACAGCGCCACGCCAGGACTCCATAAAAGCTGGTGGTTGTTGTTAAGTGGCATTGAGTCAGTTCCGACCCATAGCAACCCTGTAGAGGGTTTCCGAGGAGCTGCTGGTGAGCTTGAACCGCAGACCTTGCTGTTCAAATGGCTTTGCAGTCTGGCGCATTAACCCACAGCGCCATACCAGTACTCCCATAATAGCTGGTGTTGTTGTTGTTGTTATGTGCTGTGGAGTCAGTTCCGACTCACAGTGACCCCTACAGGGTTTCCAAGGCTGTAAATCTTTACAGGAGCAGAAAGCCTTATCTTTCTCCCACAGAACAGCTGCTAGTTTCGAACTGCTGACCTTGTGGTTCGCAGCCCAATTCGTAACCACTACACTGGTAGTGCTCCTTAGTTTTGACTTAATCATGATGCCTCAGTGCTTTACCTAGGTTTCCTATAATATTATTTTTGACATGTTTTTTAACCTGATACCTAATGTTTCATTTGTAATCCTTGAGTTGTGTATGCATTATAATTTACGATTTAGAACCAGCTGGTTTTAACTGTGAATAACAGTGGGCTGATTAGTATTTCAGTTAATTTTTCTGCAGTTACATTTTAGTTTATAATCAGCTGTTTTCTCTTCAGTATGAAAGTTGTTTCTGAAGGTTTACATAATTATTAAGATTAATGGTTAAAAATGAAATCTTATTTTTATGTAAATTTGAAGATGATAAGCCACTTAGAAAATACATAGCATTAGTTCATTTTAAAGTTTACTCTTGCTTTTCTTCCAATTATGTAGTCACCTAACAAGAATTGACTCAATTATTCGTAGTCTTTAATATTTATACAGTGGCCAAGAAATGACAGAAAGGGAAGTTAGGCAGACAAGTGAATCAGAGGGCAAAAGGAATGAGTAATAATGCAAAAGAGGAAGGAAATGATGGTAAGAGCACACATGTCTTTCAGTAGAAACACAAGAAAGCTTGCCAATGAAAACTGCAGCCATAATTACAGAAAGGGCAAGGTTTTAAAGATTTTCAAATTTGTGTGTGTGCACACGTATGTACATTTTAGTCTTCACTGGAGCTAAAATGCAATGCAAATATTTAAATAATTGTTGCATCTGTATCATGTCACCTTGATCCATTTTGATAAAACTTCTGGTGAAAGTATACACAGTTAAGGATACACCATTTCAACAATTTCTACATGTACAATTCAGCGACACTAATCATATTTGTCAAGTTGTGCTACCATTCTTGTAGTCCTTTTCCAAATTATTATACTACCATTATCTTAAACTCAGGAGCTCTGGTAGTGTAGTGGTTACGAATCTGGCTGCAAACCGCAATGTCAGCAGTTCAAAACTACTAGCTGCTCCACGGGAGAAAGATGAGGCTTTCTGCTTCTGTAAAGATTTACAGCCTTGGAAACCCAGTGCAGGGTAGCTATGAGTCGGAACCGACTCGATGGCACTTAATAACAACAACATCTTAAACTCACTGCTGCCCCCTAAGCTTCCCATACAATCTTTGAGTTGATTTGATCTCACACAGATAATTCTTTAAAAGAGCACAATGCTCAAAGCGAACATACTTAATTAAGATAAGCAGTTTTTTGGTTTAAAGAACATGTGAGAAAAGTTTGAGTTTAAAGTTTAAAGGTTATTTCAGGACAGTAGTATCAGGGGTGCATCCAGCCTCAATGGTTCTAGAAAATCTGGACACCACTTACAGCTCTAAATTCTATTCCTGATCCTTTTAATCAGGATTCTGTATAGATTTGATATCTATTTGTTTAAAAAAATTGTGCTTTAGATAAAAGCTTATATAGCTTATTAGTTTTCCATTCAAACTATTTCACACACAAATTTCCCTGTGACATTTATTACAATCCCTACAAAGTATTAGTATTCTCCCTGTTTCCAACTAGGGTTCCCTGTTTCCATTTCAGTTTCCCTGTCCCTCCCTACTTTCTTATCTTGGTTTTGGGCAAATGTTGCCCTTTTGGTTTCATATAGTTGATTGTCCTGAGGAGCACATGCTATTTGTTTTATAATCTTGTCTATTATTTGGATGGAAGGTGGCTTCTGGGAGTGTCTCCAGTTTCAAATTAGAAGTTTTCTCAGAGCGGTTGTCTCAAGGGTTCTCTAGTCTCTTTCTGACCAGTAAGTCTGGTCTTTTCTTGGATTTGAATTTTGTTCTATATTATTTTACCCATTCTAACTGGGATCTTTTATTGTGATCTTGGTCAAAGTGGTCATCAGTGGTAGCTGAGCACCATCTAGTTCTTCTGTTCCCAGGTTAGATGAGGCTGTGGTTCATGAGGGTCATTTATTCTTTGGCAGAGTGCTTCCTTGTATATTTGTCTTCTTTATCTTCTGCTCCAGGTGGAAAGAGACCAATCTTTGCTTCTTAGATGGCTACTCACAGGCTTTTAAAATCCCAGACACTACTCACTAGAGTAAGATGTAGAGCATTATCTTCATGAACTCTGTTTTCTCTATTGACCCTGATGTTTCCTGAGGATATGGTCCTTAGCCTTCAGATTCAGTCCTAATATCTAAATAGTTTCTATAATTGTACCCCTTGTATATTCTATTGCATATATGGTATACATGCAGCATTTGCAAATCTGTATGTAGAAATGTCCACCATCATGCTATATAAAGGAGAGCTTCAAAAAGCTCAAGAAAAATGGAGTTCAAACATAATGCAATTTTTCTTGAACTTTTTGAAACCCCCTCATATGTATGCGACTTCCCTCACTAATTTTTTGTGGTGTTGC